TGCGCATACGTAGATCATGCGAGCTTATTACATCGCTTTTATTTTTGCTATTATTCCCTCTCAGGCTGTTTCGGCGCTCGCCAGACGAGAGATAAATTAAATGAAAGGAGCTTTGTGCAAAGTAATCGCGCACTCGTCCTCGCGGAAACGCTCAATTCCAGCCGAGAAATACGCTCGAATGTAAATTTCCATCAATAAAACTATGTTGAATGGTCACTGTAGTGAAAATTTACGACTACAATTTATTTAACTCCCACTCATTCTCTACCGAAAAAGCACACTGTACCCATCAAAGGGGGTTTACAAATTAACCGATGCGTTTATTAGTCCAGGCGGTATTACCCGATTTGATCAAAACTTCGTATCAATTAAGTCATTAAAAATACAATATATCTACCAACAAAAAACTAGGTACCTATATAGTAATTGCTGATTTAAATAGAGGAGGGAGATAAGAATAAAATAAAACGGCAATAAACCTAAATTTGAGCGTGTACGCCGGAAGCAAAAGTGTTTGAGCACGGAAGGTGGTGAATAATGCGAAAGCCACCGCATCCCTCGAACATTGCACAGGGGTTCCAGAAATTACCTCCGACGCGACGTTTGTTTGCAGCTGAAATTCAGCGCGGTGCCGCGCATTAAAGCCGATTTAATTAAGATAGGTATCGACAGTTTTCGATCGGGTTTACCCTACTCGAAAATTGGCTTTTCGAATTCGTCAAAACTTCCCGGACGCGCTGATGAATTCTAATACGGTGCGATGTTATCGGGAGAATTTCATCGGCTACCCAATTCGAACTAGACGCGTATCCCAGTTAGAAACAAGAGCCGTTTCGGAAGGGCGAACATGGGCGAGAAGGCACTAACGGCACCCCCATGACTAGTTAAATGCAACACCCAAAGAGGAAAATAACACCTAATGTTCCAGAAATGTGGCACCCGCGGCGATTCGAGTCTCACGCAGAAATTGTTATTTTACTGGCTCTTACGGCCCTTTTGTTCGGACAATGTTGCCGTATCTTCGGCTTTATAGATTATTCATTGCATTAGAACTCTCGAAACGTCCACCGTTTACTCCTTTCTATTGTTATTAACCTCCATTTACCACGGAACATTATATACAGGATATATAATATAAAAATAAATAGTCACATTACTAATAATGCCTTTTTGTTTGTAATTAACGCCCTCTCGGAACCACCTAAACCCTTCTGAACGTAGGTGGGTAGTTTTTTTTATATGTGTGATTACCTTTGACTTTTATACCAGCATAAATACGCTCCGGTGTGTATGAAGAGGAAACTTTTATTATTATTGTGGTATAAAGGAGCCTAAAGGGATATTATTATAAGCACCATAAATAAAAAGGCATGTGTTTCGGGGTATTGAATACCTCCCTGGAGAAAGGATTACGGAAGGGAAGATGTAAAAAAGACCGACTCTCCCCCGTTCCGCAAATGGATTAATATTTCATTTCCAGCTAATGTAACGCGATATTCGCGATTTAACAGGTGGATTGAGGTTAAAAATTAATGCAAATACGCCCGACCCCGGTGGGTTGTTTCTTAACGAATAGTGGTTGTTTTAATTTCGCTCGAGGGTTTTGCTAGTTGTGGTATAGTGAAGTGCCACAAATAGTTTTGATATATTGCCAACTAAGAACGGGCAACAAAGAGGATGAAGATTGAACTACAGGATGGTCGTTGTTCCAATTAGCCTAATTAAAATGTTTATTCAGACGGAATTAATTAAGCGATGACGCCCAATTGAAGTGAACAATAAAAAGATCGTTATAACAAAATTTTATAGCATGGATATGCAAAGTTATAAATACGAGCAATTGTATCATAAAAGAGAATGAAAAAATAATGGGATTCTAAATAATTGTCTTTCAATAATTGCGACTTTACTTTCACACGAGTAGATGTTAAAAAGCAATCATTAAATAACCACAAAACCGGTAAAAGTATTCGAAAATAACCACTGAACAATTCTAAACCAATTGATTCCTTTTAAGAAATCTACTGTATTTTTTTGTAATCTTCACAAATCCAATAATAAAATCGATAGCTTTCTGTAATCTTCTCTTTTCATCTATTAATGCTTCAACTAAAATTAACCTCTCTGACTGCGAAATTAATTTTATTAACCTAAACTAATTTAATTACCTGGAAGTAAATGAAAACACAAGGGGAAGTAAATTCCTGGAAAGTTTCGTTAAATTGCATTCGGCAACAAAACACAAAATGGCCAGTAAATTAAATCAAAAAGCTGCGTAATATTAAAACAATTATAGCTCAAGTGTGGCTCAAATGTTTGGAAGTAAAGGAGACTAAATGTCAACAAAAAATTGATCCTCATGGAACCATAAATAACGGTCATAAACTATTGTATACACGGTACAGTAAATTGCAAACTTCTGAGTGTGTATGCCCATCTTGAATATTCATCCTGCTGGAACTGTACTTAATACGCTCGTAAATTTTAGAGTCGAATTCGACTAAGGACGGCGTAAATAACGGTTTAACATAAATTTAGAGAAAAATCTGGTGTATCGTGAAACTTTCCCTTGACCCTTACTGGTGAATAGCCGATGAAAAGTAAAATGTATTTAGGAAAACATGTGCAAATTTCGAGGGTTTTTGTAGCCCAAACATACCTACCGAAAACCGCTGACAGAATTATTATTTTCATATCAACTGTGTGTCAAGAGGTGGTCTGTTTACTGTTCCAAAGTATCAAATATCTCCGCAATTCTAAGAACTCCGGATGCAAACAGAGTACGGCACATTTTTGCGGATAATTTGGATAGTGAGCAATAGGAGGAACAAGGAAACACAAGTGGGATCGTACTTGATGTATTTCTCCACTATCCGCAATAATGTCTACTCTATACTCTGTCTAACAACATGGGAATAAAAAATTCCATTCTCCTAATTAGGTAATTAGTCAGCAATTATTTTTAGAAACAATTACTATTAAACCACTTTCACAACTAAAAATATCAGCTCGTTAAATCAATGTTACCTACATTTTAATAATTACTTACAAATGGTAGCGAGTAATTTGGAAAATCATTCCATTACGATATATACGAATTTGTCGCTTCTAACAAATTCTTATCCTCCAAAATAGCTCACGAAATAATAGCGAAATGCAATGGCAATTTTCCTCGTTGCATTAATATCGTACACAATTCGTGTTTGTTACTACAATGTCCTCTATTTTCTCAAAATAGATCTCGAATGCAAAGCGAGCAAACAAAACGCCGGTGCCAGTGCGTAGAAGCATATAGAGAGCGTTTCGAAATTAGATTAACTCGCCAATGCAAACACTACAATTTCGAAAAAAGCTCCACTCTAATTGTTCCATTTTTGACCACACAACTTACACATTCGATTTATTACCTGCCTCGCCCTGTCGCGCTCCATCCCGACTCGAACCCTTTAAATTCGATTTGCCCAATCTAAGATTTCACCGTCGGATTCCCCGGTGGCGCGGACAATGTTTCAAAGCTCGCAGGGAAGCGCTGTACAATCTCGCCGCCCTCCGGAATTGTCTGTCAAAAGACGCCGAGGCGGCGGCGGCGGTCGTAGAGGGGGCGGCTGGAACTTCGCCCGATTTCGCGAATATAATCCGCCGGTGGATACTCGACCAGACCTAATGGACCCGTCTAGTTTAATTATTTTATTAAGTCCGGAAACTTGGCAAATGGACGAAACGGGACCCGGTCGATTTGCAATTCGGAATTAACGAAATAATGGATGTTCGCAAGACTGCAGTTATTAATTCAATGGGGCTGTTAATGGACTCTCGGTTTGAACTACAAATCAATGTTTTAACTCGTAGAATAATCACGTATTATTTAAGATTCGAGTTCTCTAATTTTCTGGTAGGTACATCGTAGATAGCATTTTGGTATTGATTCGGGGCTACTTTTCTGTTAATAGATTCAATTACCGTGGTGTTTACAATCATTAATCATTTCGTCAACTTGGCTGGGCTAAATGGAAGGCCGTTATATTGGCGAAAATGTCCGCCGGGCCGGGCACGTGCTATCGAAATCCGGGCGAAATAGGACCATCCAGAAGGGTGCATAAAAATGCGTGGCGTGCCCGGAATCCGAAATGCGAAAACGGTTTTGATGAACCGGCGTTGCCGGGTCGTTAGCGAGCGGCGAGCGAAAGAAACTTGTTGAATATTCCAACGGCGGTTTCATATTTACTACAACTCTCGGGAACATTACAACTATCCGAGATATATCGCGAAATTTCGATTAATAAACAAAATGTAATCAACGGTAGTGCTCGAATTTCTATGTGTATACGTTAAAGTTTGTTTGTAGTCCGTTTTTGTACTGTAACTGGAACGGAACGGTGGAACGGTGATTTCGTTATTCCCAGCTCTAATTTATAATTTTAAATTATTTAAATAAATAATGTAGCAATTCTCTGTATATTTAACGGCATTCATTCGATGAGTGTTCTAACCGCAAAAATGGATGTCGGAACTAATTATTTTTAATTGAAGAGGCGCAATTAATTAATAAAAACTAGTGAATGCAGCAATGCTAAGTCAAACAACGATTCGACATGAATTACTATTTGTACGGTATATTAAAACAGACCAATCAAATTGTTATATTTAATTTTCTACAAAAAATATTATTTATTCAATTAATTCATATTACAATTATTACACTTGCAGGTATTCCTAATAGGTATTGTAACTTGATAAATATTGATAAAAATTGTGAGTAGATAATATCAATAAACCCACCCACAGATAATAATTGGAGTTGTGAATAATAAATATAAAAATCTCCACTCTAGCTGGACAAAAATAGTTATTAACAAAAAAAATAGCTGGACAAAATATATCCCTGAGAACGCACGCAATAAATAAAACCCGCGATTTCACCATTCAGTAGGTAGAAACACAACAAAGCGACTCCGGCGCTCGATTATTCATTCATTCATTGAATCAGGTTATTTACTCACCTGTTAGTAGCAGACAGCCGATTAAAACCACACAAAATCCGCTCTTCCGCATCATTTCTACTTTTCAAAACGCCGACATCGACTCAAAACGGCACCGAAAAAATTCCAATCGTCGCCGAAAGTTCGCAAAGTTCACGAAACTCGCCGTACAAACGGCCGAAAATGCGCACAGAAACCCAACTCCTACTATCGAAGCGATCGAGTGTCTACTAAAACGCCGCGCGATCGGCCGTGGCTGCGAGTGAACGGTAAAATGGAACACGGAACGACAGAACACGACGAAAATAAGTGCGAAGCCGACGCACAAGTTAGAATTCCGTGCAGTGATGCCGCTTGTGCGACTGAATACTTTGAATGTTTCATGGCGAATCCGGATCAAAGCGAATCCTCCCGCGCCTATTGTGGTTTTATCTATGTTATCGGAACTGATAAACTTATCGGAACTTATAAAAAAATGAGTATTTCTCTTAGGATGTTCCTTCTTTAAGGTGCTTCCTTACTGAATTGAAAATTTTGCAACTAATGCCTTTTCGAAATGCAAGTTTTTAGTAACAATTTGATCCATCAGAGATTTGCAGAAATTCCATAGCAAGATCATGATTTGTAAACGTTTCCTTATAATCTTCCCTTTAAGTGAATAACAGTTCAAACACAGGTGGCCCATCTTCTATGAGGACTTATATACTCTCTGGACAAACCTTTATACTCCCTTCTTTTATCAACTTTATAACGAAATTCAGCGATCTTATTATAAAAAAACTACTACTAGAACTAAATAGAAACAATAAATAAATCTACACCCTACTTGAATCAACTCTCTAATTCTAATATTATCCAGTAAGCGCAAACATAGGTAGAATCCTCCAGTGTATTTATCATCTCAAACAATGCCCAAATTAAATTGCCTGCTCGTCGGAACCCTTTCGGTAAAATACGACTAATAGCCCACACAACTTACGTTTTATACTCTCGATTCTAATAATTAAGTCACTCGGTTTCCCCCTTTTTAAAACCACTATGACTGTACTTGTAATGCAAACATACACGATAGGCTCGGCCTGCATCAACCAACAATATGTCGCCGGAACGGAAATTAACCTAACGAAAACGAACAGGTTGCAGGTTGGGTAAACTACGATAAAAAACACTTCGCTAGATTGCCGGGTGATTGCCGTTATGGCGGTTATAAAGAAACGTGTATAGTTTCGGTAATAATTCACATCTAATACTTTATTTAACGCATTCCGCGAAATCGATATTTTCGACAATAAATTACATCGAATACACTTCAGAAATTTATTGCTCTCCAAATTTGTCTCGGCTCCAAATCTTTCGAATATTTTACCAGATGGTTCCTTAGTATCCATTTTTTTTCGATATTAGCTCGAAAATAATTTGTACGTTCTGTACACCAGAATAATCAAGAGGAAGCGCTAGAGCAGTCCCTTCCATATACATTTATTCACTCTAATAAATAAATCGCCTTTCATACGCCGCATAAGTAGAAGGAAAACACATCAATGACACGATTAAACGATTAAATTCGGCAATCTCCTGTTTACTTTTCATAAATATAATAGCCGCTTCCCCATCGCCCCTTCACCGAACCGGCGCTAGATTATGCAAAAGCGAAATGGCCATTCAATAAAACGCAACAGCCGAAGGGACAACTTCCGAGGATTATCCCCTATATTGCAAGGATTGAGGTATTAACTAATTGTTTTTAGCATGTGATGCTTATGCCAGAGTTTGTATATCTTTTACTGCTCGCTCACTAAAGCGATCAAACAACCACACATTAAAATGTAATCTCCAACTCTACTCGTTATTGTTTAAACAGCAAATCAGTAATAATAGTGTAAAGAACAAAAACCAGAAGCTTTTAAAAGTTGAATACAGTACGGAAATGGAAATAAGTTATGGAATTAACCGGCCCTTAAAATCGAAATTCCATTTCTCGACGTCGAAACGACGTTTTAATGAGAGAGCGCGCTCAATGATGGAGCGCCGCTCAAAATGAAGAGTCGTTTTCAAACTCCGTATTTACAAGTACAAATTGCTCGATGGGGTCCATTGTTGTTATAGGTTGCAGCGAATTTCGATTGGGGTTTCGGCGGGGCTCGCGGGGTAGTTTTCTACTTTTCTGCGAGCTCCGAACTCCGTAATCGAGTGTTTCGTTGATTGGAACGTTTATTTGCGTTAAAATAACACCAGACAAATACGCTAAGGGTGAATTTACGATTGTTTTGATTGCGTTTTGTTAGACGTCGCGCGGAGCACGGGCAAACAAAACCGGTCCGTTCGAGCCGGATTATTCGTTAGATACCTATAAAAAATTAATTATAACTTTCGCAATTAGATTAAATGCATGATGAAAGCTTTGTTGTTTGTATAACGCGCGTTTAACCGACTCGAATGCAATATAAGAAACGATCCGGGCGTTTATCAGAAACTTTATCCGTTGGAACAAAGACGTTTTTTCCGTTTCCAAGCTGTTATGGAAACTTTTTATTTTCCTAGTAATCTTCCTTGCATTTAGTAGCTACAGCACGTGACACTCGGAATGAAAGTTTAAATGAATCCGCGCGACATAAAGGAGCCGGCAGGACGGGCGAAGAAAAAAAGTTTCCCGGCTTTTCCCGGCGACAATATAACCTCTCCCGTTCAGCAACATGTGGTAAATAAAGTTGGGAAGGATCATTAGCTGCTTTTCGATCTCCTACTTTCCTCGACTTTTTCTTTTTTAAGCACGACAGATTTCTTGTGCAAATATTTTACTATCACATGTATATTTTAGTCACCGATAGGTAAATTTCATAAAGAGAATAAACTTTGCCTCTTGGTTGAAGGCAAGCCCTTCGGGTTATAACTAATTAAATTTCGCTTGTATCTCTTGAAATTTCATTTTATCGACAAGAGGATTGTTAAAACGTAAATCTGATTACTCGTTTCAAATTGATTCCGCTAAAGCATCGTTAACTTCGGGGGCACAATGAAATTTTTGGCGGATTTCGTATACGCTCGGAGATTTATTTTGAATTTAATTGCGTCGACGACGTTTTTGCGGGCTTCCCGCCATTCTGGCCCGAAAGGTGTTAGAGAATCCTATAATTAGATTTCGTCGTTTCTGCGGGTCCCTTTTCGCCGAAATTTTGTTAAATAATTTTTTAATTGCTTTATTAATTTCGTGATTTTAGGCCCGCTCGGAACTCCGAAAGGAAATGGAATTTGCATTTGTAATAATTACTGGAGTGTAGGTATAATTACAACTCTCTTTTTTTGATTTGTCAACTTTAATGGAACGATTTAACTTTATCTTTTCGACGATTAATTTATGACTGTTATGTTTTTGTTAATTGTTTAGCAGAGGACATTGTGAGTAAGTGGTACAGATGTTTTTGCAGGTGTTGGTTAATGAGGAATCGGTTTACAAATTAGTTAATAAGAAATTCTGGGAACTTTCTTAGTAAATTTTTAATCGATTTACTACAATTTTCATTAAACTTTCTAAGGATTTTGCCTCACTTTTCTTATAAACTTCGCTGTAGTTTGGGAAACTTCTACTCGAACAGTTTTATTCATTTTTTTTCGAAAATCCGACGGCTCTGAAGTACCTAACCAAATTTTATAGATTTCATTGAGTCTGTAAAATTAATTCCGCTTTAAATTACAAAGAAAGTTTTTAATAAAATTTTCGATAAGCGCAATTTTATTAACTGGAAGTAAAATGACATTTTTAAACAACAAATACAGTCGAACTAAATGATCAAAATCGGAAGGTAACAAAAATTAACCGTTAAACGACATTGATGCGTCCGAAAATTTCCGCTTCGATATTAAATTTGAATTCATAAATGCCGCTAAAGCGGGCTAACTGTCGTTAATTATATCAACGAATGTTCGATGTAAACAACAAACGACCGAAAACGTTCCGGCAAAGCGGATTTTAAAAAACAAATTTGCGGACTAACTTCGCAACATCTGAAACAAAGCAAAATGCAGTTTATATCCCCCATTTTCCATTATAAAAGCGAAACTTTGCCCACAGAAAGCGGCATGTTTAGTTATAACAATATGCATTCGTTTTATTATACCTATTTTATTTTATGAGTGCTTGTGATTTTTATATAAGTAATATTTAATGTGAATGTAGTTTCGGAACGCTCTATATAACCCTATATTGAATAAATAAGCAGAAACTCGGTGTATTCCATTTTTCTTTCATGTGTCCTACTAACAAAACTTTACTGCCTACATTATGGGCTCCTGAATACACTACGACATTATTGCCCAGAGTCTCTTATAAAATATGTAAACTCTGTGCAGCGCAGAAATTTACACGCCAGTGCTCGAACTAGAATTCAGTTTTATGTGTATCTATGTAGTGGTTTTGATAGATTGTAAATAACGTATAGTAAGTTATTTCCGAGTTGTATATTTTATGTTATACCATTCCAATTTATAGTTGTACGTAGTTTTACAAATTTAGAGAAAAAACATAATTGGCACTCCTAAAAATCGTCATTCAGGCTATTGAGTAACTCGTTAAAAGTTTATTTTTGTCCTTGTGATAAAAAGTCAAGAAACTCCCAACTATGTACTTCCGTTTGATCATACCCGTAGTTATTGGGTTTCTTTCTTTGTTCGCGTCATTCGAGATTTTTCTCTCGAGAAAGACGAGATAAAATATACTCCACGTACTTATAATAGGTTGTTCACTCACGGTGTTTTATGGCCAGAGCTTTGCATAACGACTTCGAAAAAACATTTATGGATTTCCTCCTTTATTAGCGCGAGAAAATTGCGTAGTATCAATTACTTCAAAAGACTTCTTCCTTTCGGGGAACACCCTAATGTAATACAAGGGAAAGATTCCGTTAATTGCGATTTTTTCGACTTAATCCGGCGAAAAATTGCCTCCGCGCTAAAATCACTCTTCCGCCAATTTTCCCGTCCACCCCAAAGGAAATATTCCAGTAAATCAAGCCGAAAGGTAATAATGTCGTCCAATTAGGATGTTTATATGAAAATATGCGCACCCCTGTTGATGCAATTTCTCGCGCGCAGTATCGGCCTGAGACGAAGAAAAACATCTAATTATACTTAATTCAATTATTACACCAAGTATTTACCACGAAAAAACTACTGGGGTTTCAAAGCGTTTATAATACCTACAACGTTGTATTATTAATGAATAAAAACTATAGTTGGATGCATGAAAATTCTTTTAACTCATTTAATATATTTGAAACTTTCGATGAGTCTC